AGATAGTATGATAGATTTCGAACGATACAAATAGTTAAAATAACCATCATTTTTCTCTGAGGGCGATCAGATTGCTTCATCTTCTCTAAGCGAGGGAACCCATAGATTTAGACTACAATTCATCGTCATCAACCACTTCCCATCAATGGTGTTTGTCTCTTCGTCGAAATCAAACCTTCTTCTCCTTAATTAAAATCGCAACCGTAGTTTTGTTGTTTCTCAAACCAATGACGATTCCGAAAACGGTATGTACATCAATCGTCTATGTCTAGCGTTTTTATTCGGATCTCTTCCAATCTCGAATCGGGATTGTTATTGCAGTGATCGAAGTGAGATGTGGTATGGTCTACATCCACTATGCATCCGTTATCTCCGACGTGACACCATGTCCACGATCGACGACCAATCACAATGGATTTTGAAAGAAGTTTTGGGGACTCTTCTTCCTAAACTAGTGAGGCGGTGTCAAAATTGGATTTTCATCTTTCTTCTACTAATGGAAGATAATCCCACGAAGAGGTTACATGATGAGATGGCGGTGAGAAGTCTTTTTTGGCCACTGATATACATTGTTGAAGGTTTAAAGGCTAGAGATAAACGACTGATTACAATAGTCAAGGAAGAATCTTTTAAACAAGAGTCATCGCTAAAATCATGGAAACCACGGAAGAGACGACGTTTGGAGTGGAAGATGCATCCTCTTTGTCTTGGCGATATTCGTATAATCGTTGAAAATTGGCAATCTCAAATATTGTTTCTTTCGAAAGGATCAATATATTGGATTATAAATCGAAGAAGATCTCTACATCTAAATTGGGTATTGGCCAATATTATACAACAAAAAGAATTGATGTTTATGTTGCGACCAAGATTGTAGTTCATATCTAAGGATCGTAGTAGATCACGAAAAACAGAGTTGATACTATTTTATTAAGAAAGACATCTCACAGAAAAAGAATGTCAAGATTTAATTCCTTAAGTCCTTTATTTTATTGTTTTCTCTTAATCTTAGTTATGTAATTTGTTATTTCGTTATTTCAATTATCTTCTATGTAATCGAAAACTCTGTATAAATAAAGTAGATGTTAAAACAAAACAGAAAACCATCATTTTGAATAGTGATTGTTCGATGCGAAGAAAGGATATCTGTGCAAAACAGTTCAAGTCGTAAGCCTAAGAGTATCATGAGCAAAGTGCAAGAGAATTTCAGCATAGGAAATCATAAGCTCCGTTTTTTCATACTTGATAGCTTGTAAAATGCCCGAGGATGCCTCAAAAATACTTTTCCAGACATGCTGAAGGATCATT